ATGTGAAGTCGGCGTAACAAGTTAGCGCCCACAAATAGTTTACTCTTCTTGTTATCACGCATCCTCGCCGTGAGTTCATTCATGCTCATTTTTCGAGGCCATCTTGTGAGCTTGAATGGGATTGTGACAACTGGGGCTCATTCGAGAGAAATAAAATTCAGGATGTCTGCAAGTTCGGAAATTCCGGAAATAGTACTGTTTTTTTAAGGGCGGTCCGGAAGCACTGAAAAAGTGCGGAAATTCCGCGAGAAGGTCCAGATGTTTATTTATGAAGAGAATTATGAATATTCTTTCTCGAAATCCTCAGATAATTCATATCTGATAGCGAATGCAATTCTCTGAAAAATTCGAAGAATATTCACAGTTTTCCCTGCGAATTGTTATTTTCTCGAAGGATATTAAGCCACGTCGGAAGGGTCATAAGGCGTTCCTCCTCAGTACAGCAGTATAAATGCGAATCGCCGACAGCGTCGCTCGTCAAAATAAACGCGCCCCCTCGAAATTTCAACACCAACTCTGCCGTGCTAAGAAAAAACGCCGTATGAGCCTTCGAGCGTTGCCAAATTTCCCTCGATGAAAAACAGAATTCCTGGGAATCTTGTGGATACTTTACTCCCAATCTCCCACAGAATTGCATTCCCAATTGAATCTTTAGTATCTGAAAATTTCAAGGGAAAATATTCATAATTCTCCTCAAAACTTAACAGTTTATCGGAGGAAATTTGGCAAATCTCGAATGCTCATACGGCGCGCGGCGTTCTTCCTTACTGCCGTGCCAAGGATGAACGCCGTATGAACATTCGAGAGTTGCCAAATTCCCTCCCATAAAACATGTATTTTTGACTACATTCATGCACATTTCTCCTTGAAATTTTCCTATATTTTAGATTAAATTGCGTACGAAACTGTCTAAAAATTTTGGAAAATATTACTCCTTAATTTTCCCAGTAAATTCGGTTTTTATCGGAAGAAACTTGGCAATGTCTGAAGGCTCATACGGCGTTCTTCCTTAGCACGGCAGAACGCCGGAGTAATTAATTTCACATTTAAATACACCCCTCCCCCGTTCTTTCCGGAATTGCGCGTTCATTTATCAAGGTGCTTCAAATGGTTTTTCACTGCTCACTCGTCGTTAAGTTTTACAACAGTCCTGAGTCCAACTTCTGAGTTAATGTAAGGGAGATTATCTGCAGGTGAATGAGTGCCTTGAGGAAGCGTTTAAATGTCAAATGAATTATCGCTAAATTTCAACTGGAGGTAAGCGCAGGAATAAGCCTGGCAAAAATACTGGCTCTCCTCAACAATGGGCCTGTTGCAAACTTTTGCTAGAGCAAAAATAAGAGTTGTTTCTTATAGATAGTGCCTCAAAAATTACGATGAGCGCATCGGCAAAGTCTGAAATGCACTCATATCTTCACAATCTGCGTAAGAAATTTGCGGTTTTTTGAGCTTCCCGCTTCAAAAACGATACTACGGCACAGGTGAACATTTGGTAAGAGGAGTCGTTCCATTGTCGGCAGTATACTCATCATGGCCGACGCCAATCCGCCAAAACACGTGTGATGGGACGAGATAACACCTGAATTGGATTAGACCAGATAAAAATCGGCGTGTTAACGTTCATATTTTCCACGCCCGAATTGATTAACCTTGAACTCTCCTCGAATTACGCGCGGAGCTACGCGCAGGCGTCGGCCATGATGAATATCGCCGACGATGGAGCGACTCCTCTAACAAAATGTTCACCTGTGCCGTAGTATCGTTTTTGAAGCGGGAAGCTTAAAAAAACGCAAATTTCTT